GTTTCTATGAACCTGAACTGTTTTTTAATAATGAAAAATCGTCAGTTAAATAATTAGTTATCAAGTTTTAAATGTTGCTGTGGTGAATTACACCATATTATAAATTAAAAAAATATAACTCGAAATATGTATATTAAAAATGAATCATAATATATAATATAAAAAAATAATGGTAGTATCATTGTAGGCCTATATGTCAAAATAAACATCATTATACAAGTGGTATGTTTGTCAAAAACCATCTTATAGTTCATAATACTATTTGTTCAGGGACTCTCACGTGATATATGATTCAACAGTAAAGTGCTTGTGGCAACAGGTTTTTTTCATGAATCAAGAGCATAGACTGTAAAAAAAGATCAAGAGTGCAGGGACGCCCCCTGGCGGTAATTTCAGTTACGTTGCTCAGACACAAACTATTCACCGCAAATTTAAGCATTGATATTTTGTGCTTCTTAATTGTTGCCATTATATGTCAACTACCAATTATATTACGTTGAAATTAAATGTTCTCTTTAAAAGTAGTTTGAGTTTTGAGTAACTTTGGCCAATGCATCAAAACGTTCGTCAGTCTCAGCACAGTCAATTAAAAGGCTAAAAGAAAGAAACTAAAACATGCAACTATTGTGTTGGGGGTAACGCATTACAAGTAACACAAATTAGGTAATTAGATTGCTTTTTTCAAGTAACTAGTAAAGTAATGCATTTCTTTTAAATTTACAACAAAATATTTGAGTTTTTTTTTTAAATAAGTAACACAAGGTACTTTGTTTTCCCATTTATTGACTGACACCTGAGCTCTCCTGTCCCCCAAATCGTTTGTGAGGTACAGAGGCGTTGTGTGCGCTGTTTAATCATGGTGGTTATAGTATAGTTCTAGACTGAGCATGCATTTACTCATCTCACTTGCACAAAAACAGATTCAGTGTTCCTGAAAATGAATAAAAACAGTGAAATGCAAACTCAGAATATTACTGTCATGATTAATCAGACGGAAGCAAATGCAGTTAACTCTTTATTGGATGATGACACAGATAGATAGTCCAGAGTCCAGACAGACAGGTTAGTGGCGCAGGGACTCCGATGGTCAGATGACAAGTGCAACGTGCAGTGGTGGTGAAAATCCAACGACGAACAGTAATCCACTGAATCCAACATCCACAAAACAAGAACCGGAACAGGAGAAGCACACGATTATGGCAAGCCGTTTTAGCTTTAATTGTACCCAGCCTTACTCGTCGTAATTACATTTTTACTAGTAATAATTCAATTAGAGAGCTCTACAATTCAGTTATTACTAGTAACAATTACAATTAGTAATTACGTATGGCAAGCCGTTTTAGCTTAAATTGTACCCAGCCTTACTTGTTGTAATTTCATTTTTACTAGTAAGAATTTAATTAGAGAACTTTACAATTCAATTCGTACTAGTAGCAATTACAATTAGAGAGCTCTCTAATTAAATTATTACTAGTAACAATTGCGATTAGAGAGCTCTCTAATTCGATTCTTACTAGTAAGAATGTAATTGCAGAGCTCTTTAATTGAATTAAAGAGCTCTGCAATTGCATTCTTACTAGTAAGAATTAAATTAGAGAGCTCTCTAAATCAGTTTTTACTAGTAAGAATTACATTAGGAGAGCTCTTTAATGCAATTATTACTAGTAAAAACTGATTTAGAGAGCTCTCTAATTCAGTTCTTACTAGTAAGAATGCAATTGCAGAGCTCTTTAATTCAATTAGAGAGCTCTTTAATGCAATTCTTACTAGTAGGAATTCAATTAGAGAGCTCTACAATTCAATTCTTACTAGTGAAAATACAATTAGAGAGCTCTCTAATTCAGTTATTACTAGTAACAATTACAATTGCAGAGCTCTCTAATTCAATTCTTACTAGTAACAATTCCAATTAGAGAGCTCTACAAATGAATTCTTACTAGTCATATGTCTCCATTGACTTCCATTCATTTTTAATTACAGAGCTCTTTAATTGAATTGTTACTAGTAAGAATTACAATTAGAGAGCTCTACAATTGAATTGTTACTAGTAAGAATTACCATTAGAGAGCTCTCTAATTCAATTGTTACTAGTAACAATTCCATTAGAGAGCTCTCTAATCCAATTATGACTAGTAACAATTACAATTAGAGAGCTCTCTAATTCAATTCTTACTAGTAACAGTTTAATTGTAGAGCTCTCTAATTGAATTGTTACTAGTAACAATTACAATTAAAGAGCTCTGTAATTGAATTATAGAGCTCTCTAATTGCATTCTTACTAGTAACAATTCAATTAGAGAGCTCTCTCATTCAATTCTTACTAGTAACAACTCAATTGCAGAGCTCTTTAATTCAATTAGAGAGCTCTCTATTTCAATTGTTACTAGTAAGAATGCAATTGTAGAGCTCTCTAATTGAATTATTACTAGTAAGAATTCCAATTAGAGAGCTCTCTAATCCAATTATTACTAGTAACAATTATAGTTAGAGAGCTCTCTAATTCAGTTGTTACTAGTAAGAATGCAATTGCAGAGCTCTCTAATTCAATTACAGAGCTCTCTAATTATACATATCTTTAATTCGTTTTTTTACTAGTAAAAATTCAATTAGAGAGCTCTGTAATTGTAATTCTTACTAGTAATAATTGAATTAGAGAGCTCTCTAATAATAATTGTTACTAGTAAGAATTGAATTAGAGAGCTCTCTAATTGTTATTCTTACTAGTAAGAATTGAATTAGAGAGCTCTCTAATTGTAATTGTTACTAGTAATAATTCAATTAGAGAGCTCTCTAATTGTAATTGTTACTAGTAATAATCGAATTAGAGAGCTCTCTAATTGTAATTGTTACTAGTAATAACTGAATTGTAGAGCTCTCTAATTGAATTATTACTAGTAAAAATGTAATTACGACGAGTAAGGCTGTGTACAATTAAAGCTAAAACGGCTTGCCATACTACAATTGCATTCTTACTAGTAACAATTGAAATAGAGAGCTCTCTAATTGAATTAAAGAGCTCTGCAATTGAGTTGTTACTAGTAAGAATTGAATTAGAGAGCTCTCTAATTGTAATTCTTACTAGTAACAATTGCATTAGAGAGCTCTCTAATTGAATTGTTACTAGTAAGAATGCAATTAGAGAGCTCTATAATTCAATTACAGAGCTCTTTAATTGTAATTGTTACTAGTAAGAATTGAATTAGAGAGCTCTCTAATTGTAATTGTTACTAGTCATAATTGGATTAGAGAGCTCTCTAATGGAATTGTTACTAGTAACAATTGAATTAGAGAGCTCTCTAATGGTAATTCTTACTAGTAACAATTCAATTGTAGAGCTCTCTAATTGTAATTCTTACTAGTAACAATTCAATTAAAGAGCTCTGTAATTAAAAATGAATGGAAGTCAATGGAGACATATGACTAGTAAGAATTCATTTGTAGAGCTCTCTAATTGGAATTGTTACTAGTAAGAATTGAATTAGAGAGCTCTGCAATTGTAATTGTTACTAGTAATAACTGAATTAGAGAGCTCTCTAATTGTATTTTCACTAGTAGAATTGAATTAGAGAGCTCTCTAATTGTAATTGCTACTAGTAAGAATTGAATTGTAGAGCTCTCTAATTGAATTCCTACTAGTAAGAATTGCATTAAAGAGCTCTCTAATTGAATTAAAGAGCTCTGCAATTGCATTCTTACTAGTAAGAACTGAATTAGAGAGCTCTCTAAATCAGTTTTTACTAGTAATAATTGCATTATAGAGCTCTCCTAATGTAATTCTTACTAGTAAAAACTGATTTAGAGAGCTCTCTAATTTAATTCTTACTAGTAAGAATGCAATTGCAGAGCTCTTTAATTAAATTAAAGAGCTCTGCAATTACATTCTTACTAGTAAGAATCGAATTAGAGAGCTCTCTAATCGCAATTGTTACTAGTAATAATTGAATTAGAGAGCTCTCTAATTGTAATTGCTACTAGTACGAATTGAATTGTAAAGTTCTCTAATTAAATTCTTACTAGTAAAAATGAAATTACAACAAGTAAGGCTGGGTACAATTTAAGCTAAAACGGCTTGCCATACTCGATTGAATGACAATGGGAACACACATGGGAACACACACGGGAACACACACACACACACACACACACACACCGGGAACCACAAACAACGATCTGACAAAGGAGATGCCCCTCTAATCAGCGCACACACATACATACAACAACAGAAACACGAGACAAGAACACATAAAGCCTACTTAATTAATTGAATCTCACTTTATTATCCGTACAGTACAGATGCAAATTTGCTCTTGCTTCCGCCTGAGGATTATTTATTTCAACTTTTGGTGTGAAAGGGGCAATACAATTGCCCAAAATAGAACTTTTGCATTTTTTTGTTATTAAAAAACAAACATGAGAGCCCAGCCCACGAAACGCCTAGTAAAGTAACACATTATTTCCCACAATAAGTAACTAAGTTATGCAATTAGTTACTTTTTAAGGAGTAACGCAATATTGTAACGCATTACTTTTAAAAGTAACTTTCCCCAACACTGATTCCAATAAGCCATAATTCAACAATTCTAATCAAGTGATTTGAGATATTTTCCGCCAGGGGGCGCATGGGGGCTCACGAAGCCGAATCTCCTTTTCTCAGGTAGTCTTAATTAAATTGTATTAAGTCTATTAATACCAAATGTTTGTTCCGGGAATGCATACAGAAATCTATCCCAGTAATATCTAGGCTACTTTAGATCAGTATGTTATGCCATTATGTCAACGATTATATAACTATGAGAAAAGTCACATTTATCACGTGACTACCCTCAAGCAAATCACACACTGAGAAACGTAAATATCCACTGATGTACTGCGTGAAAAAATAAAACGGCAAACTATAGCCTAAAACGATCATATCATACCTACGTATTTATTACGCATCATCAGAGACGACTTCCGGGCTACTAATCCCGCCCTTTCCAGTTCACTCATTTTCCATTCAACCCACTATTTCTGTGGCTCAGACACTGACGTGTATCTCTGTGCTCTGGGTGATGACGTGTCCTGAACACGCTCCTCTCATAGAGCTAACTTACTGACCGGTGATTGCTAACCGCTAGATTGGGACCGTCATCAGAGGAACACCATGGCCAGTGAGTCTTCGTCGTTTTTACTGTACTTCCAGTCTATTAACAAGTAATGCAATGCATTCTGTAGTTATAAACAACTGGCATTTTACAATAACTGGCTAGCCAGTGTTTATTCGTTCATTAAACATTAGCAACTGTATTTTGCTGTCAGAATTTAATGTTGGTCATTGTTTTATCATTAGGTTCACAGAAACACGTTGTTTAACTTTATTTTGTCGTCTAAAATGTGACTTTATGGTTACATTTGTAATTCCACTGGTTTTAAAAAGAGACCATGGCCAGCTAACGTTAGTACTAACAACGTTAGCTCCGTAAACTAGCCTTGTCACAAATGCATTTGTTGTTTATTTCATTGCTTAGCAAGTTGATTGTATTGTAAACCTGTAATGTTGCACTTAAGTAATTTCGTTAGAACCATGGTGTGTAAAAATATAACGCTAACTTCATGTACAAATCTGCCAACTATGATAATGATCATTGTTGTGTAACGTCAGCGTGATTTGTATTCGTTTTATGCATGCATTTGGTGGACAGATGGTTTTGATCGTGTTATTTGGGTCATGGTTTTCTTCTTGGACTGAATGATGACGTTGCAAGATAGAGATTCAAGCAACTTGTTTGACCTCCAGAAACTCTAAAGCCACGTCGCCTGCATTCCCAAGAGCTCCTGGGATAGTATCATTGTTTTGTTTTCTCATGTTAGGTCAAATAACTGTAACCCTAAGTGCGGGTCTTTTCTTTTTCAGTTAAATTCCTGGAGGTGATAAAGCCATTCTGTGCGGTTTTACCTGAGATCCAGAAACCAGAAAGGAGGGTATGCAGTTAGATCTCATCTCAACATCTTGCTTTTATAGTTCTTGTGGCACTTCAGTGATAATAACTCTTTGAATCTCTTCACCACAGATTCAGTTCAGAGAAAAGGTGTTATGGACAGCAATTACCCTGTTCATCTTTCTGGTGTGCTGCCAGGTATGTTTACTCTGTCAACTCCTAAGCTGTTAGTGCTGTAAACTGTTGATGATCAACAAATCGTTCTTGTGCTTTTATAAATCTCTCAAACCAAACATTACCGTCTTTGGATGTTTTTATTGGTTTAAATGATCTCTTATGATCTCTGTCTTCCAGATTCCCCTCTTTGGAATCATGTCTTCAGACTCAGCAGATCCCTTTTATTGGATGAGAGTGATTCTGGCATCCAACAGAGGTGCGAATACCTGAATCAGCAATGTCCGAAAGTGATTGAATCAGATGAATGATTTAATCAAATATCGTTGGCTGGTTAATTTGCTCATAATTATATAATTGGATTTTAAGCACCCATGCTAATTTTAAGTCTATCAACATCTGCCAATAACTGTGATTTGTTTAGTTGTCAATGAATTATACAAAATTATCCCAAATAGTGAATTTGGAGTAAATATTATCTAATATATTTATTTTTATATTGGTCACCTGCATTTGCAAAATCCCAAATTGGCCAACCATTAGATTTAGTTTAGTAAAAGTTGGATTGAAGCTTAAACATGTGTGTTTCAGGAACTCTGATGGAGTTGGGTATCTCTCCTATTGTGACGTCTGGTCTAATCATGCAGCTGCTGGCTGGAGCTAAAATCATTGAAGTTGGAGACACACCTAAAGACCGAGCGCTCTTCAACGGAGCTCAGAAACGTAAGGCAACCCTTTCTCTCTCACACTATATGAGTCTTGTCCATTTACATGGCTCTCTGCATTTCTTGATTCTGATTGGTCATTTGTGGAACATTTAATTCTATTATTATATTTGAATGAGGGGCCTAAATTATACTTAATGTTTTATTATTTAGTTATTTGATTCATTTGATCATTTACAGTCGGCCAGTTTTGATTGTAAAATAAACCCCTTCAGACTCTGCCATCTTGCAACAATGCAAGATTATTATAATGCATTATCGGTTATCAGTTGCATACAGTATCTTTTCTGTGGTTTTTGATATACTTAGCGAAGTTACTTCAATTGAAACTAATAGAAAGGTCTAATGCAGCTCCCATTGCAGTAATGCTTGTGGAAAACCCATCTTAATGTCACCATTGCATTTGTTTCTGTAAGATATCTAACCGTGAGATTTTTTTTTCCCCCCAGTCTTTGGCATGATCATCACCATTGGCCAGGCTATTGTGTATGTAATGACTGGCATGTATGGAGACCCTTCAGAGATGGGTGCGGGAGTCTGCCTCCTCATCATCATCCAGGTTAATTCACATTCTCTCTATTCTCTAATATATCGACATGTCCTTGAAATAATTTGACATTTTAGGAGTGATAAACTGATATATTGGTAAGTATCTTCTTCAGCTGATAACATTTTCTACAGAAGCATTTGGTTTGACTGAATCTCCTGATAGGATTGTGAATGGATAATGCACATTTTCTGTTTCAGTCTTTCATATTGTGTATCGTGTGCATTTTAATTAAAGTAATCCTCATTCTAGATCAGGGGTCTCAAACTCAACTTAACTGGGGGCCGCTGGAGGTAGAGTCTGGGTCAGGATGGGCCGCATCAAGTATTCCACAAAAAATAGTATTCAAGTATTCCAAAAAAGGAGCACAACTGATCCAATCTTCTCAATATTTATTATTAACGTTTCTTCTGAACTGTTCCTCTGAATTTGAACATACCTTTCTGTACATGATTGGTTCTTTATGAGCTGTCCTGACAGTTGAAGTTCATTTTTACAAACTTTCTGTCTATAACACATATTTGTGATATTTATATTTGCTTATGTCCTTTTTTATTTTCTTTATACAACACATTCATGATATTGAATGTTTTTTTTTTTTTTTTTGGAAGGCACATTTCCTTTTATTATACTTAGAAAAACAATTATTGCTTTTGAAATACAAATATTTGCAGTCATGTCTGCCCGTCTTATTGAATTCTTTCTACACATGTAGCTGCTATTGTGTCTCAAATTACTGACTGCACAAATCAAAGCAAACCTTCTTATGAACCTGTTGGACACATATTACAAGCTCAAAATGATTTTTCTCACATTGTTTTAGAGCAGGGTCTCTCTCCAACACGTCGCTCGCGAGCTATCAGTAGCTCGTGGCCTGATTGGTGGTAGCTCGCCAAGGGGCCTGTTCACATATCGCGCTCACATATTTTGCGCGCTCAAGTTCGTTATTTCAAATGTAGGCGCGCGGCAAGCGCGCTCATAATTTAAGCGACGCGCTCATTTTTTCCAGGCGCAGTATGTTTGTACTTCGCGGTTGTCTATGACAACTATTGACAACAAACCCACCGTGTCACGAGACTATCTATGGTAGCCCATAAGGGATAAAAAAATATATATATATTTTTTTTTTAAAACGCGGCACACGCAACGACCGCACTAACATTAAACTTTAATGTTAAGTAGGGGGCCACAAAATATCACCCTGCGGGCCGCAAATGGCCCGCGGGCCGGAGTTTGAGACCACTGTTCTAGATACTATCGTTGACGACAACTTTTAAAATAACATTGGATCTATTTTTACCTTATTGTGGATTTTTTTTTAATCTCTCTTCAAGTTATTCGATTGCACTGTTGGTTGTTAAATTGTCTGTAAAATCAAAAGACTTCGCTCTGGCTAATGCAGTGACCTTTGTAGGCATTGTGTAAATCTCATCGGTTTGCATTCGGATCTAACCTTATCTATGCAAATGAGTGCATATAAACAAACTGAATAACTGATTGATCAACATATTGTATCTTGTCAGTCTTATCTTGTGCTTCATTTTGTGAAGAGCATCATCCTTTCTGTTGGAAACACCTTGCTTTAGTGGTGGTCTGCATGCTCTGTATAGAGTTTAATTATGATATGGTTGATCACTTAATGATGTTGATGATCTGTTCTCTGTAGCTGTTTGTGGCCGGTCTGATCGTGTTGCTGCTGGATGAGTTGCTGCAAAAGGGTTACGGTTTGGGCTCTGGTATCTCTCTCTTCATTGCCACAAACATCTGTGAGACAATCGTATGGAAAGCGTTCAGCCCAACCACAGTCAACACAGGAAGAGGTTTGTGTTCAGGATGAAGTATCTTGTTTTTGTACCATTCTGTGGTGTCATAAATAATGCTGACTGAGTTTTGTTTGTGTACATTCAGGTACTGAGTTTGAGGGAGCCATTATTGCTCTGTTCCACCTGTTGGCCACTCGTACTGATAAAGTGCGAGCTCTGAGAGAGGCCTTCTACAGACAGAACCTGCCCAACCTCATGAACCTCATCTCTACAGTCTTTGTCTTTGCTGTAGTCATATACTTCCAGGTTAGTGGATTATTCATTATTGTTTAACAGAGGTGTTTGCTAAGGTTTCACTGTTGTTCAAATCCTAACCCGAATTAGCTGACAACATTTAGTCTAAGTACGTATTTATTTTTTTCTTGTTCTACAGGGCTTTAGAGTCGACCTCCCTATTAAATCGGCACGTTACCGTGGCCAGTACAACACATATCCAATCAAACTCTTCTACACCTCCAACATTCCCATCATCCTGCAGTCTGCACTGGTGTCCAATCTTTACGTCATCTCTCAAATGCTCTCCACTCGCTTCAGCGGGAACTTCTTGGTCAACCTGCTGGGGACTTGGTCGGTAAGTGACCATGTATAAGTTATTTGTTACTTTAAAATATTTGCGTTGTCTGAAGAGTTTTTTTTTTTGTTTAAAAATGATTCTATATGATTTGTTTTCATCCTTGTTAAAGGGGTCATATAATGCCATTTTTGTATAAGCTAGTATGATTCTTTAGGGTCTAAATTAAAAGTTTGTAATATACTTTAATTAAAAATTCTCATTAGTATTGTAAGAAAACACTTATTTTACTTGGTCAAAAACAGAGCTGTTTTCAGCACGCCGTTTCAGTGCATATGACTTTAAATGATAATGAGCTTTGCTCACCCCGCCTCTCTGTTCTGTGCGTACACAGTGTGTAACACAATAACCATAACGCGTTGTTCAGTATAAACGTGGGATTATGAATTATATTGAGAACATCATACATAGAAAACATGCCGTAATGTACCCTAAGTGTAAACAGACGCATTCATTGTGAAGCGTGCAGCTGGCGATTTACAAAGATTAATATAAATATTAATATAAAGTTTAATAAAACGTTACACTCATGAGCAGCTTCTTAGCAAATCCAGCTTTATACTGACCCTCCTTTATAAGCAGTCTGCTGTGAAATGATTTGCGCAAACATGAAAGCATTGACGTTGCTCGTGGGGAATATTCCCTTCGAAAACAAACTCAGCCACTGCGTCTTCAGCGGTTCGGATTTAGGAACATTAAAATGACTGCTGTGCAGGGCCTGAATTTCGTTTTGGAAAATGGGCCCCCCTTAGATGATTCTCATGGGGGGGATTTATTGTTTGAGGGGGAGAATTTTTTCCAAACAAAATTATTACATTTATCTTGCCTAAATGTTTGCGCTCATTGCATTTTTACAATGGGGTAATATTGTTGTTAAGAATTTACACATCACAAGGAAGCTTGATTTAAATTGTTTAATTAAATTGAAATAAGTAGCACAAATACAATAGAATAAAGATACAAATAAAGACAATTAAAGAGCAAAGTTTTTGAATAGGTCTAACACTAGTATTCATATACAGAAACTGAATAAAGTAATCAAATGGAAAATAACACTGGGTAGTATTTTAGTCCTGAATAAATTAAATACATAGGCTATTAATCCTGATTCCTTTAACTTAAAGCTATCGTTTGTTGTTTTGACCTCAAAATTAATGACAGACACATATGGCTGCCGTCACTTTAAGAGCTAGTGCACGGATCCTGTGTTCATTATACTGGCATGCGTTTTATGCTTAGGCCTATTAAAGACAAAACCGGTTATGTTTAGAGTATAGCCTACTCACAAAGACCGAAATTGACAATTTTGCGCGTTAAAGCAATATAATCCACGAAAAATAGTTACTGGCCAGCTGTTTTTGAGGCGGATTTTCTATGAATGTGCGCATAGAAAATAATCTCTCAGAGAGCGCGCGAGCACTGATTAGTTTAAAATCGCTTGAATGTTTAAACTGGTAAGACTTAAAAAGACTTCAGTCACGATGCACTGCTGGCCCGATTGTGCGAGTGAATATTCCGTCATGTCCCGACCTTACAGTCTATGGTCCCGACTCCAAAACGTGAGTGTGTATTATCACCGCAGCGCTTGATGCCTGCCTTGCACAAAACATTATGAGAAGAGATAGAAGACGCGCGGCACCGCTGAACACTCACGCTGTTTGTGAAATTGCGTCTGGAAGATAGTTGTTAAAAGAATGATTTGATTGTATTATCTGTGTGGATTACGATTGCGGGAATTTCCCGCATTATAAATGGGAGACCTGCGGGAATGATTAGAATTATGCGCAATACCCGCAATCCCGCGCCAAAATTTGAGCCCTGGCTGTGTTCGTTATTACACCCAAGAACAGAACACCACAATCGCTTAGACGCCATTCTGCTCATAGACAGTGCTCCAGCATATCAACAATGAGCGCGCCGGTCCGCGCTGACTATGATTGACAGCTCCCTCGCGAGCGAGGGCGGGTCTGTGTTGAAACGTTGCTGTCGGTTGCTGTCAATCAACAATCGTGGGAAGGGCTTCCGAGCTTGTGACGTCACAAGCTCGAACGGCTTGATTTGAGACGGGAAAACATATAAGGAGATTAAAACAAAAACACTGGATGGATTTTTATCATTTTATGATGGTTGTGTACAGGCACTGCCAACACACATTTCAGTACAATCAACTTGTAAAAGTGCATGTACCATTATATGACCCCTTTAAGTGTTTTTAATTTAGCATTTTGATCTAGATTAGAGTTAGAACATGCTAATCATAATAATCATTTAATTGAATAATGTTAAGTACTTTTCAGTCATTCTGTGGCCACTTTAATATTTGCTGAAGGCTCTCTAGTGGGCCCTAGTTGGGAACCACTGTTTTAAATTATACACACTCATACAAGATCAAACTTTACCTGGCCTAGAAAACGAGTTAATCTGCACCTGTTTGGTCCGCCATCATGGAGGCTGCTATTTCGAAATCACATGACCAGATGAATTCTACTAATTTTAGCTTGCTTATCAGACTCTTTGGGTTGTATAACAAATTATTTAAAAAATACTTGGTGCTCCTATAATGCGTGTGTTTGTTTGTTTGTTTCTGTTAACAGGATAGCTCAAGTGGAGGGCCAGCTCGTGCTTACCCAGTAGGTGGTCTGTGCTACTACCTCTCTCCCCCAGAGTCTTTTGGTACAGTTCTGGATGATCCAGTTCATGCCATCATTTACATCATCTTCATGCTGGGATCCTGTGCCTTCTTTTCTAAGACCTGGATTGAGGTGTCTGGATCCTCTGCTAAAGATGTAAGAGCGTTAGGCTATTCCTGCTTCCAGAGCACACAGAGCTACACTGCACAGTTGACTTTAGTGGGCTTTACATGTTCATTTTGCATTACTTAGGTCGCCAAACAACTGAAAGAACAGCAGATGGTTATGAGAGGACACCGAGAAACTTCTATGGTCCATGAACTCAACAGGTAAAAGATGCAGAGCACTCAAATTTAATTGGACTCAATGAGTCAAATATAAAATATCTAAAACTTTTTTTTTTTTATCCTCATTTAGGTACATACCCACTGCTGCAGCTTTTGGAGGCCTCTGCATAGGTGGTCTGTCAGTCATGGCTGACTTCCTGGGAGCCATCGGTTCAGGAACTGGAATTTTGTTGGCCGTCACAATCATATACCAATACTTTGAGATCTTTGTGAAAGAACAGAGTGAAGTGGGCAGCATGGGTGCTCTCCTCTTTTAGTACGGCCCTCTGTGACCACATCAGACTGTCTGAATTTATAAGGTTAAGTTCTTTTGTATTATTTTTGTTTTATTAAATGCACAAATTCAATGTTCTACATCAAGGATGTTTTCCCACTGTGCGTCTGATCCTGACCTGTAGTGGCTCGCTTTGCACCAGAGTTGCAGACTGAATTGTGTTTTGCTCTCTTGGGGAAAATATGGCAGCTTGATATCTCTGTATTAAGTATGGGAATGTAACCATCCACTCTTTCTGTTTATTTTTTATTTTTTATTTTTTTTTAATCTCCCAAGCCAGTATCTATCTATAGATGTTTCGGATTCTATGTAATTCCATTCAATTATGCATAATAGAAGAAACATGTCCAAACCTGATCCACATTTGATACGCCCTGCAGTTGTCTCTTTGTGTGATGAGGTAAGCACAATGTTATGTCATGGCAACAGTTGATATGATGTAAATAAAAATAGATTTTTACGGTTGGTATGCACACTTTTGCCCGCTGAGTGTGAAAACATTGGATTGGTTGTTAAAATTTGCCCAGGTTTATCAATGCCATTTCTTTGAGATTTCTGCATTGGATTTGTTGAGGTTTTGCCAACAATTTTTCCATTATATTTATGTTTGTTGTTTTTCTTCTTGTATCTACAAGCTATTGTAAAATAGTTCTGTGCATTTCAGGAACACTACTTAATGTTTCTATTATCGCCCCCCTTTTAGATCTAATTAGCTTTGGTTTCTTTTAGTGGACCAAATGCTGCAGAAACTGCCTGTTTATGAATATGCCAGTTTTGATATGAGAGGATGTGGTTTGTAATAGTGTTTCATTTGTTGTTTTCTTATACAGACCACAGTATTAAAATTTGTTGCGAATACTTTTGGAGTTTTGTTCTTTTAATTTTTACATTTTAATTTTACATTTTGAGCACACATTTTTACAATTCTCAAAGATGTTATTTGATGGCAAAAGACTTACTTCAGAGTGAAACAATGGATTTCTGTGCAGAATCCACATGGCTACCCCATTCCATAAATAAATAGAAAAAACTTCAAAATAATTTGTCATTTTTATGTGTTTGTCATGGCCTTTTTTGTTCTTTTGCATGGCCTCATCCTGATAATAAAATAAAAATGTTCATATAGTGTCTTGTCAGATGCAATGTCAAATCCACTTAGAATGCTGAATATGGAGTGACAAAGAATAAAATAAAAACATTTAATATTTAATAAAATGTTGTAGTAGCTGCATTATATATTTGTATACCAAAGTGATTGTTTTTGCAAACATATTTTGGATATTTCTATACCAGAACACGAAAATGGATTAAAAAAAGACAGTGATGAATTGGGACATGTAATAAATACAAACATTTAAAATTAACATTATTACATTCATGTAATTATAACCAATTGTAATCACATTTATATGCCATATTTCTTTGAGTTTGAAATCTAATTATGAAAATGGCTTTTATTCTGAAAAGCTGTTCGTGTTTGCACATCTTTGGAGCAGCAGCAGCGCCTCGATGGTGTCGCATCCGGTCTTGAGTCGTTGTTGGGCTTCGCTGAGATATTCCATCCTTTGAATACGACAGCAGGTACAATAAATGCATTATGATAAAGTTGTCGCAACAGGTAGCGTCTAAAATATAGCATATGGTCGGTGCTGGTGTGTACATGCCAATAAATGGTGTATTGATTCGCCACCCTAAGCCTGAAAGAAGGTTGTTAGCAACAAGCTAGCCCTTGACTCGGCGTTACAATGGGTGGATAATAGCGATACGAAGCTCTTGTGTGTTCTGTATGATAAAACAAGTAGAGACATCATACACATGTATGAGCTTGACATGAATATGAATAAATGAATTGTCAAACGTTCGGTAAAATGTAACTGCATCCTCAAAAGACTGCCATATTTTACAAGCAGATTTTACTTGTTTTTTAGGCATTTGAGGGAATCGAATACTAACTTATGATAATAGTAAAAAAAAAAAAAAAAAATCATGGTACTACTAACTATTAATTCACAATGATCTGCTAGTTATTTTAATTTAAGACGAAGAGATGATTAGATTTAAACTTCTCGTTTGTCTGCTTTAGGGTGGTCATTTCCCATCATCATCATCCCTTTACAGAAGCATGGCTGAGCCCGAGCTTCTCCTGGACTCCAACATTCGCCTTTGGGTTGTGCTGCCTATTGTGTTTATTACTTTTCTGGTTGGAGTGATCCGCCATTATGTCTCAATTCTGTTACAAAGTGACAAGAAGCTCACGTTAGAGCAGGTCTCAGACAGGTAACTTTCATTGGACTGTTTCATTATCCATCCTCATGTTTTTTTCACCACGCATTACAGAACATTAAAGATTTGTGCTTCATGTTCTCTATACAGCCAGGTTCTCATCCGGAGCAGAGTTTTACGGGAAAATGGAAAATACATCCCCAAACAAGTGAGCCCTTCTTATCTTTTTTGTGTCTTTTGATTGAGGCGTTACCGGAGCACTGAAACTGAAATGTTATCTCTTGCTAAAACAGTCTTTCTTGATGAGAAAATTCTACTTCAATAATCAAGAAGATGGGTTTTTCAAAAAAACCAAAAGAAAGGTAGTCCCACCCTCTCCAATGACTGGTGAGTTGTTCTAAACTGACATTCTTTTATGGATATATTACATAATAAAATGACAGTCAGGATTGAGCTACAAGTGATGATATTTACTCAATTAGATCCCAGCATGTTGACGGACATGATGAAAGGCAATGTGACAAATGTCCTGCCTATGATCCTTATTGGTGGTTGGATCAACTGGACCTTCTCTGGGTTTGTCACAAGTAAGAGATACAGTTTTTGTTGGCAAATATGGCTTCTTGTTGTCCATTCTCAAAGAATTCATCTTAACACATGTATAATTCTGTTCTCTCCCAAGCAAAGGTACCGTTCCCTCTCACTCTCCGCTTCAAGCCGATGCTGCAGCAGGGAATTGAGTTGCTCTCTCTAGATGCCTCCTGGTTAGGGCTCTCACAACCTTGAGTGTTTTTCATGTTCTTATTTTATTCAAAGCTGTATCTTTAAATAACCTCTTGCTGTATGCCTCCACAGGGTGAGTTCAGCATCTTGGTATTTCCTCAATGTCTTTGGTCTCAGGAGCATGTATTCTCTTATTCTCGGACAGGACAATGGTAAATAACTTTACTGATGTGCCAAATTCAATACACCATAATTTTGACCTACTCCAAAGGTGATGCCATGTAAAATTGATCTAAAATTTGTCAGTTGTCTGCAATGAAATAATGCTTTAAAATCTAAAAAAAGGGGATTTTGCCAATTTAATAAAATTTGTACTGTAGCAATAGCTTTTACCTTAAATATTTGCCCTAAAATTCAAATTAATTTTAGAATTATATGCATATTTTTGAGATTTGTATAATTTACTTAGGCCCTATATATCAAAGTCCCTTTCAAGTTGGTGGCCATATTTGCAACGATTTCGGGCAGCAATTTCGGTCATTAAAAAGCTTACATTTCAGATGGGCAATTGTCTATCAATTGGTGATTGTCTCTTTTTTTATTTACAAGGTGGGACTTGGGTTGCCTTTTATGAGTGCACCATCTTTGTATATCTAAAGTCTTTGCTGTATATGAATTAATTTTCATACATTTGCAACAGGTGCAGATCAGTCTCGCATCATGCAGGAACAGATGAGTGGTGCTGCAATGGCAATGCCTGCTGACACAAACAAGGCATTCAAGGTATCAGCTAAACTCTAACGTTAATACGTTTATTCTGTTATTTTTTTGTTTATTTTATATATTATTTTGAAGCTGGAAATGAAATCTTCCTATTTTTTTTATTATTTTTTTTAAGATCTATGTGTATAAATGTTCTGTACTTTCTGTTCTTCCTAGGCTGAATGGGAGGCACTGGAGTTGACCGATCACCAGTGGGCCTTAGAGAATGTTGAGGAGGATCTGATGAGTAAAGACTTGGACATGTCTGGGATGTTCAGCAAAGACTTGCCAACGGGCATCTTCTAAGTGCCTGTCTACTACTGAGAGGTTTTGGAGGACCTCATGAAATTACAAGAGTGAATTGTTGGACTGGTTGTGGGAGTGACAAAACGCTTCCATTCAGATTTTTAGAAAGTGTCATAAAGCTCATTGCAGACATGTTGTGTCATTTGCATGCACCAATCCCTCCATCATTCATTTTTGATCAGACTTAAGTGTCATAGTGTTACAAAGCTTTGAGCTTAAAGCTTTTTATATTATCTCTTGCGACTGCATTCACACAACGCAACAGAAACATTACCGTGCACCCCATAGAGTAGCATGTGGCCTTGTTTTCTTGAAAACATTCCCTAATGATTATTGCTGTTGTCTTTTATTTTTAACAACTTTTCATTAACTTTAGTTGTTTTAAGAGCCCCTTGTTCTTGTTTTACTAGGAACATTTGATTGTTTGGACCAAGTAGGCAAACAGGAAGTTTTAGGAAGTGTGTTTTTAAAAGTGGAACAGTCCATAACTTAGGTTCAGTTACATGAATAGTATATTGCTAGCATTTTAGATGGTTACTTATGGTGCCAATAATACACCATGCACTGAATATGTAGTAAAAATACTACTTTTTTTTGCCATTAAACTAATTAAGATTGGAGATTAAGATTTATTTGACTTCTATTAAACATTATCTTTGGTTTTATAAAATAAATGTTTCTTTAAGACAGCCTGTTTTGCTAAACCGTGACGTACTGTTCTGTATTCTGTATTTATTTTATGATTTAATTTATTTTTCTGAAGAGAAGCGGATCCACCATTAAAGTTGAGATAAAGTCTTATTTGACCCCATTTACTTTTTAAAAATTATGTTTCTGGTCTGATTGTGCTATTTCTTTACAGCATGATGTTCCAAAAAAAAGGGCATGTTACTTGTCTTCACTATTTTTATCGAAATGTTACAATTGGCTCTGCCTCTTAGGGCGGATACCAAACTCTTTTTCTTTTTCCAATTCTTCAGATTCAACTGCTGCCACTCTTCATAATATGATTTTGTTAAAAAACAAGACAATAGCCTAAATATAATTTGCATCTACATTAAAAATACTAACATTTGTTTACTTCTCGTTTTTTAAACATTTTCATAAAATGCTATTTATTAAAACCAATTCCATTTCATTTTCATGTTAATAAAACCGTTATACAATTAAGTCTAGAGCATATTTTCAGTGTGGTTTATGAATCTTGTTTGTAACCAGTGGCGTCATGCCCATTCAAAGTGAGGGGGCATCCCCTCAGATTTTTCCTCCCTAGGGTGACCAGAAGTCCCGAAAAATTCGGGACAGTCCCGAAATCTAAGCTGTTGTCCCGAATCCCGAAACCGGCCTTAATTGTCCCGAAAATTATACTAAAGCAAAATCTTGATATAAAATATTAAAAAATGTCCGTGGAAGTTGAGTCGTCCTGCAGCCAGCCCCTTCCAATCGCAGCAGCCGCAGCCGCGAGGACAGTGAATGTGCAGGCAGCCAGTCTAAAGTTTAGTTTTTTTACGCGGCATGAGGCTTATTAGCGTTAGGCTATAGCCTGAAAGGTCTGATTTAGCCTACACACTGTTACAACAGTAACACATTTTTTTTTTCACAATGACATTTGAGTTCATGATTTTAATGGGTTTTTTCTTTTTGGCAGACTAAAGACTAATGACAGACTTTGATCTTTGAATTAAAAAATATGTTTGGTTCAGGTTTGAAATTCATTATCTTTTAAGTCTAATATCATAGTAGGACTATACCCCCCAAATCCCTACAGCATAGTTGTTATACAGATCGCTATACATATTGCATTTGATTTGATTACTTTTTTACATTTCTGTCAAATATTAACCATTTTCAAATAAACGGGGTAGTGTTAACCTTATTCAGCACTGAAATCTGCCAAACTTCTTTCAAAGTCCTTCATCACATATTAATATTAAAATAACTCAATTTCAGAGCACCACAAAGTCAGACCTCAGCACCTTAGGCTACCTTTAATGTAAGATCGTTCTTAGGTCACATACCAATTTAAAATCATAACATAAAAACTGCAATGGTACTGTTTTTGAAATCATGTGTAGTAGGCCTAAGTATACAGTAAGTGTGTGTGTAAACATGCTTTAATGAAGTAGACTTCAAAAGCTTTTGAATTTGAGCTTACAGCTCTTTCATCAACCTGTCTTTCACATAAACTTACAAATACTTTAACTTAGTCCTCAGAATCAGATAGAGGAGTGTTGCTGCTAGCTCCGTTAAGGTATTTCTGTCCCTCCTAAACTGCATTGAAATATGTTTAGCAGCCAGAATTTAAAAAATTTCAGGGGGAGACCCCTCCTAACATGATCCATATCACCCGTCAGAAAACAATTGCAACGTCTCAGACTGTGCCCCCCCAGAATTTTGGCTTGCATGACGCCCCTGTTTGTAACCAGACAGTTGATGGCATAGTATTTTTTTTTCCTACTATGGAAGTCAGTGGGTGCCGTCCGTGAACTGTCTGGTTAAAAACATTCTTTAAAATATCTTCTTTTGTGTTCAAAAGATGAACTCATACAGGTTTGGAACAACTTGAGGGTGAGTAAGTGCGGCTCTGAGTAAGTGATGAGATGATGACAAAAGTAAAAATGTTGGGTTAACTAGCCTATCCCGTTCAGACTGGTTTTGTGAACCGGTTCAACTGATGCATCGAAAAGATCCGACCATTCAATTTAAAGCTCAATATAACAGAAAATAATTTCAGGAACAATGTGACAAAAAGGTCCTCTCGGTCAAAACTTGTTATAGCGGCTGACAGGAATAAATAAGCTGTCAGGGATGCGGACACAAATCTGTTTATCTTTCCAGAGCCCTAACTTTTAATGAAGGACGGTAAAATGTATTTGAATTATCCACCGCACCTCCTTCATGTAACTACTATTCGAGTTCGGCAGCCTAGTAGGCGCGCTCCCTCTAGCGCTGCGCGTCCCCTGTATACTTCAGCGCGCTCGCGATTACTGCGGGTTCACTCGCTAGTAGCTACACGATGGCGGAGGGAGGCGGACCCGAGTCGGGTACCGCTTCGGACCCTGACGAGAAGCCGGTGATCACACAGACACCAGTACCGTCCACCGAGAGTCAAAAGCAGAGCATCGGTACACTGCTGAAAACGCCACTTCGAAAGGGAGACGAATGGTAAGAGGTTTTTAAATAAAGCCGAAATCAAGGAACGCTTGTCGGCATCAGCTCAGGCCTACTGACGGAGACACCGGCTGCCGGAAATCCCTTCACTAGCTGGGCTGTGGACAACCACCTGCTTCGCTAACACCCATAAACTAACATACTCTCATTATTATCAAGGCAGTGTACACAGCAAGCATGCGTTTTAATATAATAAAGATTTAACACTATTTATGTCGGTTAGAAAACGAGGAAGCTGTCTTGTAGCTAGTTAGCACAGATTAACCAGCCGTAGCTTTTATATTTCACCTCAACTGTCCAAGTTCTTCTGCTTAAATGTCTACTTTATGTAATAATAAGACGGTTTCAGACACGTTAGTAGCCGAAGGGTTGGTAAATAAACGCAACCACCCCGTTGTCGGTTATCAGTTCTCTGATAACAGCGTCAGGGATGTAAGGCACTTCATTAGCCGAGGCTAGTTAGCCAGGCTAGTTTGTGTTTCATTGCCGAGTTAGGTGTTATTTTCTGTCAGACGTCAAACTTATTTTTGAGGAACTGTCAAACTAGATTAAAATTACTGTCCAACTTCTCCCTGTGAAGTTGTGGAGAAGACTAAGCTACCTAAACGAGTATTACAGTAAGGCAGTGCTTTGTCATGGCCTCTGGATAACACCCAGTCACTCACAATGTTGTTTGCCAGTAGAAGAGTTTATGACACTGATATTAAACACACACACAAAATACATCTGGAATTAATGGAGCTTAAATGGCAAACACATATATACAATATTTAGCCTGTAAACCCGTTAGTATATGAAAGTATTTGGTCAGGATAACCTGTCCACTTTTATTTTGAAACTGTGTGTAAGAAGAGACTAGTGACTCATTTGAATGGACATTTAAGTTTCAGTAGGATTAAAAGTACTTTCAGTATATAGACTTTTACTAAAACTAATTAATTTAATCAAGCAAGTAACTACTTGTGTTGTTAGTTAAGGTCACTTAACTCTTTTTATTTCAAAAAGTTCATTAATTATGAAGCTCTATCTAAAAATAAAGGCTAGTTTGCCCCATATTTTTCTCCAATGCTCAGTCTTTTCATTGAATTTAAAAGATGTTAGACGGAAAGTTATGAGAAAGTCATATGTTAGTAAGCAATGACAATTTTGACTTTTGGGTGACCCATCCTTTTTAATTTGGACTTTTGACGTTTATTATCAAACTATAATGTCTGTCCCTTGGCGGAGTGGAATCAAGTGCTAACAAGCTTATGTAGTGGAACAAGTTCCTACTTTGGATGAGATTAAGAAAGACCTTATTGACCTTATTGAATATCCTTATTGACTGCTCTACATTGGTAGATGTGTAACAACACTATAGATATTTACTTTGCAATCAGTTTAGGCCTTACATTTTAGTAGACAAACATATTTATTGTCCTTTTCCCCTGACTTTCACTGATCTCATTCTATTGTTCTACTTGTTTAGGTATTTGATTGACAGCCGGTGGTTCAAACAGTGGAAAAAATATGTGGGCTTTGACAGCTGGGATTTGTACAATGTTGGAGAGCACAATCTGTACCCGGGACCCATTGACAACTCTGGACTCTTTTCAGGTAATGAATGTTGAGTGTTGTGCCTATCTTTGCTTTGCCACACTCTCATAGATGGGTGTTGTGAAAAATGGGTTTATTTTGCCAGCAGTAAAACGTTCTTTTTTTGTTTTGTTATTATAATACTGGAGACTTTTTTTATCAGCTTTTAAAAATATGAATGCTTACTCCATTATGTATGTGAATATCTGATTCAAAGCTGTGTGGGTAATTTAATTTTAAGGTGCTTACAGACAGTGCTGGACTGGGACTAAAAAGTGGCTCTGGAATTTCTGGCACAGAGCGGCCCACGGTACCCGGTCCGCAACACACCAAACATAACACAACTGCTCATTTTGCGCAGAGCAATTTTTAACACCACTTACTACAGGGCTTGACAATAAGGACTGCCCGATGGGCCGGGGCATTTTTGCACATTTTTAAGCCTTGCCAATTTAAATAGGCAAGCGCACGTAGATGCGAAAGTACCCACGTATGAAAAGTTTTGTGCGCAGCAACCGTATGTTCAAAATGAACGAGTACATGAATCCATTTTCCAAACCGTGTTTTTGACTTATCCTGAATCACTACGGTACGCCTATAATAAGTGTTTATATTCTGACTACTTTATCCCGGGGTCGGCTCCGGCTCGCCTGCGGAGTTGCCCAGTGCCTGCGTGACTCGCCATAGACATTAACGGAGAGAAGTAGCTCCGGCTACAATGTTCTTCTGCAAGACACTTGCAGTTTATTTATTAACGAACGTACACGTCACGCGCATTGCACACTGATGGTGAAACGCACCAATTAGGAATTAAGTCATAATAAGTGTAAGTTAAATGTACAGTGTACGACATGTAAAAAAGACAAGAGGCTAACAATGTCAAGATCAATATTTGTGTAGCCTTGGTCACACTGCATCCGTTCCAGGAGCGGTGCGTAGCAGTGCATAGATCGTTTACACACAGAGTCTATTTTTGCTGTGCTGCACGCGCTGAATTAAAGTGACAGCGCATAGTTCTTGGTCAAAATGAGCACAAATTGACGACAATGAATTTAATCATAAATGCATTTAATTAAATAAAATGTAGTAATCTCACCATAAATGCATTTAATTAAATAAAATGTATTAATCTCACCATAAATGCATTTAATTAAATACTACTATTTTTCAGTCAGCTTTTAACTTTTAACTTTTTAATAGTTTTTTTGAGAATATTTGTATTTGATAGTTAAAAGATTAAAACATTTTGCTAACATGAGGTCTTGTGTCACTGTCAGTCTTTTTACATCAGTGCAAAACTATGGTATGCAGATTAAGACCACTATTCATCAGCATGCATTGATTAATCCCATGGCATGTAAAAAAAAAAAAAAGGTGCGACCAAATCATATGCTGGTGCGATCAACTGAGAAAGTTGGTAGCACCAGTGCAACCAGTGGAAAAGTTAGTCTGGAGCCCTGGTAACAGTATACTGGATCCGTGCAGCTCTTAAAGTGACAGCATCCTAATATTCCTGCTTCTGTCTGTTTTTGTGTGTTAATCAAACATAAGACAGAAAAAAACTCTCGCTGCTCTTGACCGAATAACTGTATAAGGATTAATCTGTTTATACAGTAAAGACTATACAGTGATATTTTACATTTGATTACTATTTCTGTACCCTACCTGAAAATCTAGTTAAGACCTAAATGAAAAACCTGAAAAGAACTGTTTATTTCATTTGTATATATTTGTTCTTTTGTGTTTATTTGTGCTATCACTCGTAATTTGACTTTGTTCTTATTTTATTACTGATTGTCTGTAACCATATTTAAAATTTAGGCTATACGAATTAGGTTAGTAGTTTTTGGTGTCATAACCTTATTTATTAAGGTTACATGGATCAAAAGCAACTTAAACAATAACTAGGCCTATTTTATTTAATTTATAACTTTTTTTGTGGTGGGGCCAGTGAAAACTTTGTCAGGGCAAGTAAAAATTTGAACCACTGGCCCAACCTCGCAAGTAGAAAAAAAATCCTAAGTGTTGAGCCCTGTACTAACTTAAAAATATAACAATAAATACATGTAAATGATATTTAATATTTTTTTTAAACTGAATTAAAATAATTTGTGCTTATCTAAATTAATAAATTAATAATAAATAAATAAATAAATGCAATTAGAATAACAAGAGCTGAAATCAGACAAAATCCATCTTTGCACTGCAGAAGTGGTACGGAAGCTGCATTTGAAGTGGCATTTAGATGAATTTACACATACTGTTTACAAATGCATAAATGTAACAATATTGTTTAAAATGAAATATGAAATTGTGGGGAAAAAAATGAAATCGAAAACTAAAACCGCTGGGAAAAGTCCCGGTGCTCCAGATGGCTAGTCCGCCCCTGCTTACACAGTATTTAGTTTTGACATTTCAGTCTTAAAGGGATAGTTCACCCAAAAATGTAATTCTTTACTTTTTCACCCTCGTGTTATCCCCAACTCAACTTTATTTCTTCAGTAGAACACCAAAGGAAATGTTTTTCCTTTCTCTTCCATGAATCCCTATTAACCAGATAATTATTTTAAAATAAAAAAAATATTTTCATTTAATTTTTTTTTCTAAATGATTCGTTCATGAATCGGATTGATCTGATTCTTGAGTTTAGTTCACTGACTCAATTATAGTCAAATATACTGACTAATTTCTTGAGTTAACAGCACACTGGAGGGGAAGATTGACAATTGAATAATTACTTAAATTGATGTTTATCACCCAAAGCTATCATGTTACTTTGGAAGACTTGGAATATAGTTGTGTAGGCATTTTTATTGGTGCTTTTCATTCTTTTTGAAGCTTGAAATCTCCTTCCAAAGCGACAAGTACATTTTCCAAAATCTGTCCTTTGTGTTTTATTGAAGGAAGGAAGTTTTTCACATTTTCTTCATGATTTTCTTAGCCTAGCATGGCTTATTCTGTTTGATAATACAGTGTAGTGTGTTAAAGGGTTCTAATGTGTTCTAAGGTGATTTCCCCTTTTCTCTCTGTATCATAGATCACGAGTCCCAGACGTTGAAAGAGCATCTCATAGATGAGTTAGACTATGTTTTAGTGCCTACAGAGGCCTGGAATAAGCTGGTCAGCTGGTATGGCTGTCTGGAGGGTCAGAAACCCATCATCAGAAAGGTTCCCCCTATTTCTTTGTTTTGCTCTGTTGCTTTGTGTCTTTCTTTATTTGTGATGCATTGCTCATAATGTAGCATTAATTACAAATTTTGCTTGCTATTTAAAATTTTATGATTTTCAGATTGTGGTAGTCTCTTTCTTTTTATGTTCCTTTTTGATGCCTTTATTTACCCATGTCTGATATAAATGAGTGATTAACACAGGCAGAGTTACATGGTTATATTATTTTCATGTGGTAATTGCATTGAAACAGTTACACAGTTAATGATTTATTTAAGGTATGTTGAGTTGAGATGCTTTGAATGCTTTTCTTTTGCTATGTCTTGAGTGTTAATTGTTTTTTGAAAACGTGTTTTCCAGGTTGTTGAACATGGAATGTTTGTGAAGCACTGTAAAGTGGAAGTGTATTTGCTTGAGCTGAACTTATGCGAAAATGACAACATGGAAAAAGTTGTCACCCGCCATTTCAGCAAAGCAGACACTATAGGTATGAGATTCATAAGAAAATATCAGTAGTATTTGCATCACTGATTTTATCCATTATCACAGTCAATGAAAACTAAAACTGTTCATTCATTTTAATTGTTTACAGCTATTATCAGCAGCTCTGCATGTGTTTTTCCTTTCAGTTCAAACTGAAAATTGCTCTTATAAAAATTGGGCAGCTGTCTACATTTATTTATGTTTTTTTTTCCCTCTAGATACTATTGAGAAGGAAATGAGGACTTTATTTGACATCCCATCTGAAAAGGAAACCCGTCTTTGGAATAAATATATGAGTAACACTTATGAACAACTTAACAAGCTTGACAGCACTGTACAGGACGCAGGGCTTTTTCAGGGGCAGGTAAACCATTATGCTTTATTCCATTCCAGTTGTGGTTGGTTTGAGGCTGATTGACATTTTCAGAGGGTTTATGAATTCACATCATCAATCTCATCTAATTCCTCAGGTGCTTGTTATAGAGAAGAAGAATGAGGATGGCACATGGCCCAGACAGACCTGCCATTCCAAGTATGTACATGCAGTTTAGTTTGTTCTCACACTTAAGCACCTTAATGTTAAAAAGCTGCTAGTTTCAGAACTGGATTAGTTTTATTAGTTAATTATTGGGAGTTTTGTTTTAATTGTGTTTCTAAAATTGCTTTGAATAACCCTAACATAATTCTTTGATTTATGCCTAGGTCCAGTACTTCCACCTCTCGGAATTATACAACCTCCCCAAAACTCTCTTCGAACTCATCTGCTACCATATCCTCCACAATAACAAATGGGGATAGCAATAGCAACTCTGGCTACATGCTGAACAACAGTACTTCTGGTAACAGGTCAGCTTGAACATTTTATAACATAAAACTATCTCAAATTACTCCACAGTTAGTTTAGTTCCTTACTGAGAGAATTTAAACCGAGAACTGAAACAAGGTTTCAGTTCAAGGTCAGGTTTCCTGTATTCAGCATTTGGTTGACCGATTGTGGTGGTCTAAATAGGTTTAAATTGTGCTGTTAACTCATAGTCAATGTCTTTGCTAACCCACCATATCTGTTGCAGATTGGGAAGTTATAACTCCTACAGCTCCTCTTACAGTTACAGAGAATCTGCCGCTCAACCAGGTCTCTGCGGTCTGAGCAACCTGGGCAACACCTGCTTCATGAACTCTGCCCTCCAGGTACTCAAGTGCATATGCATTGCATGTTTTGAAATCTAAAATTTGCTTTCTTTGCTCATGGGCACTTGGTTCAGCTGGTGACCGTCAATAGAAAAAGATGGGCCCAGATGGTGTAGTTATGACATCTAGCAGTTAGCTAGATCATGCTAACCAGCCAAACCCTTATTCCTTGATTAAGACAATTTTCCTTTTAATTCCAGTGCCTGAGCAATACTCCCCCTCTGACGGAATATTTCCTGGAGGACCGGTATGAAGCTGAGATCAACCGGGAAAATCCATTAGGGATGCGAGGGGAGATTGCAGAGGCCTACGCAGATCTGGTCAAACAGACGTGGCTTAGTCGGAGCAGTTACGTGGCTCCACGCACTTTTAAAGTGAGTGAATCTGTGTTTGATAAGTTACTCTGGAAGTCAATTTACATTTCCAACACACACCCTTAATTTGAATGTTAAGTTTCTCCTCTCTCTGTTCAGACCCAGGTGGGTCGGTTTGCCCCGCAGTTCTCAGGGTACCAGCAACAAGACTCTCAGGAGCTGCTGGCCTTTCTGCTAGACGGCCTACATGAGGACCTTAACCGTGTTAAGAAGAAGCCTTACCTGGCCCTGAGAGATGCTGAGGGACGGCCTGATGAGGTAAACCTCACATCATGATGTGTAAACCACAACAAGACATGCATTTTAGTTAACAACCAAATTAGAAGTAGTCAAAACGACCAGGATAAAGCTATAGTGCTGCACAAGTGAAGCCAAAGCATTTTGATGGCCTCTGGTGGCTGGTTGCAGTATAGGCCATAAACCTCACCCTCTCCATGTAATCGAATGTGACACAAGACCCAATTAACACTTCTAATAATTTTTTTACAAAGATTTTTTGTCATTTTTTGTAAGCTCTAATCACGCAGATGTATGTGCAAGTGTTCATTGTTCCAATAAGTTTAAATTTAGTTAGTTATTTGATGCTGTAAAAACGGGATGTGACGTCATGATTGACAGCTGAAAAATTTGGCCCTTAAACTGAAGAATGTTGCTTGACTTGTGGGTATCTCATTTGTCTGTAGATTGTAGCTAAGGAAGCATGGGCGAATCACCGGTTGCGGAATGATTCCATTATCGTGGACATCTTCCATGGCTTGTTCAAATCTACACTGGTCTGCCCAGAATGCTCCAAAGTTTCCGTTACCTTTGACCCCTTCTGCTACCTCACGCTGCCCCTGCCCATGAAAAAGGATCGCACTATGGAGGTGTTCCTGGTCCGCACTGACCCGCAGTTCAGACCCATGCAAGTAAGACCCGTTTTCCTGAAAACACTCAGGCACAGGTTTTAGTTCAAGATGTGGGCTAAAAGATCCATTTGTTATCTTCCAGTACCGTGTAGTGGTTCCCAAAATGGGTGTTGTAGCAGACCTGTGCAGTGCTTTGGCCAAGCTATCTGGACTTCCTTCAGAGAATGTAAGACTTTTTCTGTTCCTAGCATTTCAACCTAACAATTACCATTCCATTATTTATGATTCTTGAAGAGATAGTTCTCTTAAAAATAGAAAAACCCATATAGCTTTCTTGAAATAAAGCATGTAGATTTTAGGGTCTTTTTTCTTTTGGAGTTTGAGAGGACTAGATTACTGTATTCTTGGATTTAAGTGGAAAAGAGCGTTTCACTTTGTTCCATAAAAAAAGAAGTCATGAATTTGAGGCAAAATAAGGTTGAGTAAATGATGTCTGTTTTCACTTCTGGATGAAAAATTTCTACTTGTGTCTTTATAACATTGGCTTAAAGTTATAGTGGACAGTCTGAGACTTAGTATTCCTGCTTTGACTCTTCTAGATGGTTGTGGCAGATGTTTACAATCACAGATTCCACAAAATCTACAAACGGGATGACGGTCTCAATCAAATAATGGAGAAGGATGACATTTTTGTGTAAGCCATCTCTTAAATTCTAATTACCAATACCGTTCAAAAGTTTGGGGTCGGTAAGATTTTCAATGTTTTTAAAATAAGTCTCTTATGCTCACCAAGGCTGCATTTATTTGATCATAAATAAAGTAAAAACCGTAATATTGTTGAAATTTTATTTATTTTACTTTTTTTTTCATTGAATACATTTTATTTACTGGCAACATTTTATTTTATTTGATGGCAAAGCTGAATTTTCAGCAGCCATTAAGTTCAAAAGAACAGCATTTATTAGAGATGGTGTTTTTTTTTATAACATCTTACTTACTGATTAAAAAATCTTACTGACCCTAGACTTTTGAATGCTTATGTTTGTTCATCGAGTTGTATTACATACTGTAGGTTTTGCCAGTTCAGCTGAGTGTGTTTTGGTTAGTGGTCTTTTACTGATTGTGTCTTTGTGGTTTAGTTATGAGGTGTTAGAGGAAGATAGTGAGAGGATGAACCTGCCAGTGTACTTCAGAGAGAGGCATGCTAAGCACAGTGGAGGCTCTTCAGGCACAATGCTCTTTGGCCAGCCTCTCCTCATAACCGTCCTGCGCCACAACCTCACCGTGGATACCCTCTATGAGCGCGTGCTGGAGAGGATCGGGTTGGTATTCTGCTTTATTGGTCTATTCTAATGTTACATTGATTCTTTCATTTCACACTTGGTTGACATTTTTATTCTCTTTTGTTTTAGGCGTTACGTTAAACGTTCACAGGGAACCATTACAGACAGCAGAGCATCTGCCTCAGCCACATCGTCTAGCAGCAGCCAATCACCAGAATGCCTCGCTTCAGTGTCCACTCACAGCACAGGGCTGAGTAGCTGCAGCAGCCCAGTTTCAGATGGAGCTTCCTGCAGCGCTGGATCCAATGGCAGCAACCACTCCAGCAACGGCCCCAATGGAGTCTGTGATGGTAGGACACTCCAACTTGTTATAGAGCTCCCAAATGCTGTATTCATAGTCATCCATTTTAGATTTTTTTTTATCCCCCCCAGACATCTGACACAGGTCTGATTTTGTTGTATGCATGTGTCTTAGGTGATGAGGAAGCCATGGACCACCAGGAGAGTCCAGAACCAGAAAACAGCCACTCAGACACTGTGGATGGAGAGGAGGATTCTGAACCAGAGAATGGGCCCAATAGCAGCGGTGGAAAATCATTTACTTCTCGGCCAAAACTCTTTTCTTTCAGCATGGTCAATTCCTACGGCACAGCCAACATCAGTTCTCTCCCGTTTGATGGAAATCTCCTAAAGCTCACAAGTAACTATCACAGTTTTTACATTTCATACAAAAAATGAATCAGGTGAATTATTAAATGTGAAACACGTTTTTGTCTAATGTTAACTCTTTAGGATCACTTGCATTATATCCTCAAGTCAAAACTGATAGATATGCTTTTCTACAGCTCACTCAACAGTAGCCATTGATTGGGACTCAGACACGAAGAAGCTATGCTACGATGACCAGGAAGCTGAGGTAATGATCTCCATTCCGCTAACTGTTCAAAACCACACAACTTTTTAAATGTTCGGGGCCAGTAAGATTTCTTTTATGCTCAACAAGGCTGCATTTATTTGGTAAAAAATATAAATGGTAATATTGTGAAATATTACAATTTAAATAACCAATTATGCTTTAAACATTTTTTTTTTGTGATTTTGGGGTCTGCTAGAACAGGATTTCATGCTTGAATGTTAAAAAAAATATTATTCTTCCCAATCTATCAGTAACGCTCTGGGGTGCTCTTCCCAAAAGCATCGTTAGCCAACTATGGAAAAAATATTCTCTGTGATTTTAGTCCTGTCCGAATGTGACATCTCAGTAATCATAACGGACAATGTCAGTAAAGATTACGGAGACTTTTACCTTCAGTAAAAAGGTCCGGAAAAATGACCTCAGTGTACCAAACCAATCCTGTGCGAATAGACCCGCTGTAAATATGTACGGAAATATTTAGTCATTTCCTGTTTAAAAGTAGTTTTCCGCGGTTTTTCCAAGTATGGAGACGGTTGAAAAAGCATTCAGTTGCGTTCTAGACGCTGGGACAAGTCTGTGTCAAAACTCAAGTGTTTTCCACATACCATTCAGATCAGAAAGAAGATCGAAAGCATTTGTTAGAGGCACGAAACATCTTTTAGCATTAGGTAAGTGCCTATTACCAACACAATCCAATCTGAAGTTAATTAATACATCGTTCGACCGGACATAACTGTTACCATTATATATATATATAGGTTATATGTGTTTGCGAACGTGATATCAGGAGATAACGTAATACGTACATGACGACAGGAGGGTGACGGCGATGCGCAAATCTAATTACCCCTCCCACTTCTGCTAGTTTTACTGAGATATCTTATCCCGTGCGAATTGTCCATTAATATTTCAGACTAGGGATGCTCATTTCGGTTAATTTTCCCGACTGACAACCGCCACTCGTTATCCGATTATTAACCGTTAACTGATAAGAGTATAATAGCCTATTGAATTAAATAAAAATTAAATTGACGAGTGTCTGTGACCCGTTAAAAACAGAAATATCCCGGGAATACAGAGATAACGTCTCGCCAGAGTGGCCAGCTTCAGGAAGCGACTTTCATGTGCTTGTGGATGTTTGCTTCACAAGTGATATTGCATTGTACTTGTAACTACTACTGTAATTTAATACCGCGTAGCATATTTTGCAACTTGCAAGTAACTTTGTCGTCCTTTCTGTCGAAATGGTCCCACACAGTACTTCTTTTCGCTCGCTTCATTTTGCTTGCTCAGTGAAATATGTCTGTAGGCACGTGTGGTTGCACGTGTTGACGCGCCCTGTGAGTTAACAAATATAGGCTATATATATATATATATTTTTTTTTTAACCATGCCGCAAAATAAAAAAATAAAAAATAATATATATATATATTTTTTAACTGATAGTATTAATCAGTCAAAATGTTTACTTTTGGTTAATGGTTAAACGGTCAATATGAGTATCCTTATTACAGACGTCCTGTGGTAAAATTACATTTCTCCATCTACCCTTGTAAACTTATTCCTGTCGGAATAGGGCTTTTGCGCTTTGCAACTTTGCAGACCCTTTTTCATGCTCAAACAGTAACATAACACTAAAGTCAGTCCAAAAAAGGTGAAAAAGCATAATATACATTTTCAAAATCGACTAGTTGATGGGTTGTTTAAATGACTAGTTGATTAATTAATGTTGAACAAGTTCTGTGTAATTGGCGTCCAGTGAGATGTGACAGTCATCTGGTCAAAGATTTTTTGTCATAATCCTCACAAAAATGGACTAGTCAACCATCTTTCCTTTTAGCTACCTGTGCTAAGTGTCCTGGGACATTAATGTGAAGTCTCTCCCCAGGCCTATGATAAACATGAGAGTATGCTACATGCTCAGAAGAAGAAGACCACAGTAGCTTTACGAGAATGCATCGAGCTCTTTACTACAATGGAGACCCTAGGAGAACATGACCCCTGGTGAGGATCCCCTGCTTTCCAAGGTCAAATGTTTTACCAAAGTATAACCACATTTAGTGCAGTTGTAATGTGTATGTTTGCTGTGCTCCTCTGTAGGTACTGCCCCACATGTAAGAAACACCAGCAGGCCACAAAGAAGTTTGACCTGTGGTCTCTCCCACGCATTCTGGTTGTCCATCTGAAGCGTTTCTCTTACAACCGCTGCTGGAGAGACAAGCTTGACACGGTCGTGGACTTTCCAATTAGGTAAATCAGTTGTGAGACAACAGCTGCAGATGACAAAATTGAATGACAATCATGATGGATGGATGGAGAGAGATATTTTAATTTAAATAAATATTTATGTACCGTAATTTCCGGACTATTGAGCGCACCTGAATATAAGCCGCATCCACTGAATTAAAATAAATAAATATTTTGAACATAAATAAGCCGCACATGTCTATAAGCCGCAGGTGCCTACCGGTACATTGAAACAAATGGACTTTACGCAGGCTTTAACGAAACACGGCTTGTAACAAAAATAAATAGGCTTTAACGAAACACGGCTTATCACAAAACTAAATAGGCTTTGACGAAACACTGCTTGTAACAAAAAATAAAAAATAGCAGTAAACAGTAGCCTACAAAGAAAGTCATTGGTCACTATCTTCCTCATGTGCACTGAAACCATTGAAGTCTTCTCTTTCGGTGTCGGAGTTGAATAGCCTCAGAATCGCTTCATCCGATATTGGATCGTTTTCATTGTCGCTCTCGTCACTTTCATCCGGAGGCAAATCCCCCGCTGAGCCCTCAACACGCAGCAGTCCAGCCTTTCGAAACCCGTTGATGATAGTGGATTTTTTGACAATGCTCCACGCTGTCAGGACCCACTGGCAGACTTGACCATAAGTTGCTCTTCGCATGCGGCCCGTTTTAGTGAAGGATTTCTCCCCACTTGTCATCCAAGCCTCCCACTGAACACGGAGCGCCACCTTAAATGCACGTTTCACACTGATGTCGTGTGGCTGCAAATACTTTGTTGTGCCCCCAGGAATCACAGCTGGAATTGAGTTTGTCCTCTTGATGGCTTCTTTCACCGAATCTGTTATGTGGGCCCTCATGCTGTCCAAAACGAGCAATGCCTTGTTCCTGTGAAAGAATCCTCCCGGTCGCTTGCCGTAACACTCCGTATGCCATTCATGCACTAGGCTTTCTGTCATCCATCCTTTCTTGTTCACTTTCACAACAATTCCTCTCGGGAATTTTTCTTTTGGCATCGTTGTGCGTTTAAAAATCACCATCGGTGGAAGCTTTTCTCCCGATGCCGTGCAGCTCAGAACACAGGTGAAGTGCGTTTTTTCATGCCCAGTTGTTTTCAGCGTGACGGATGATTCGCCTTTCCTGTTGACAGTCCGAGTGAGAGGCAGGTCAAATGTCAGAGGAACCTCATCCATATTTATGATGTCGTGCGGGCCAATGGAATGCTCCGCTATCTTTGCATCAGTGAATTTGTGGAAGTTTGAAACTTTTTCCTCGTAGTCGGGAGGGAGCTGCTGACACAGACTCGTCCGTACCCTGATGGACAGTCCTTTACGTCTCATAAATCTGAGACACCTCGATGGTCCACCTCTAAAATCCTCAAACTTCATTGCAGTGGCGATTGTTTTGGCTTTCAGTCGGATCTGCACAGTTGAAACACCTCGGCCGTCTGGTCTCTGTGTGTTGACCCAGTCTTCAAGCTCATTTTCTAGATTGGGCCATCTGCTTTTCTTCCCTCTGAAAGCTTTAGTCGTCTTTTTGCACTGAGTCAATTCCTCACGCTGCTGTTTCCATCGTCTTATCATCGACTCATTAAGACCAAGCTCCCGTGCAGCAGCTCTATTTCCTTTTCCAACAGCCAGATCAATCGCCTTCAACTTGAAAGCCGCATCATATGCATTTCTCCAAAAAATTGAAAGCGGGAAAAATCAATATATTAGCCGCGTCATTGTTTAAAGGTTGTGTCAGCGATTTCAGGCCCAAACATAAATGATCACATTCATCTATTCTTTCCTAACGATCCGCTAGCTGCCCGCCCCATAAGCAGGCTGTCAATAAACCGCGTCTCTGTAGGCAGCCTAGGCTCTGAGATCTGCACACAAAAACAAATGGGTACAACCACCACTCAAAACCAAAATAAACAGTGTTCCAACCAATCACCGACAGGGGCGGGTTTTGCGCTCGTGCACGGCGTCTGCACACGAAGTCAGAGCTGAAGAACGGACCAGATACAGTGAACATGGAAGAGGCAATCCCCAAGAAGAGAAGGAGGATTAGGGCGAGGGAAAACCGTCGTTATTCGTTAAAGAAACGAATAATAATTTGGAAGGCTTTTGAACGGTGGAGAGAGCTTAAAGATTTGAACATTTTTAAATCGGACGCTGAGGTTGCACTGTTTCTTCTGGACAGCTTCTAGTGCTGACTTTTTCAGATGTGAACTGTGTGTGAAAATATCCTTTAAAAAATATGAGTGAAGCTCGACTAAACTTGGATAGCTCTAGCGAATATCAGATTGTAGGGATTTAGGCCCCGTTTACACGATGGGAAAACGCAGATATTTCTCTGCGTTTTGCCCTCTCATTTACACGAAAACGCCGTTTTTATCACAGAAAACGATTATTTCTAAAAACTCCGGCCAAAGTGGAGATTTCTGAAAACGCCGGTTATGTGTTGCCGTGTAAACTGGGAGAAACGGGGTTTTAGGTTCTCTCTTGTCGATTCTGAGGATTTTGATTGGCTTGCATGGCTTTATCCTTTCTACCTACACTGCCGCCCATAGGTTTGGCATAGTTATGATGGCGCTCGACGGCGTATTTATGCGGGTGTGTGCACGATGTTATTTTTGAAAACGGAGAGGGGGAAAATATTCGTTTCTCTAAATACCCGGCTATGTGTAAACGTAGCCTTAGTGTGTGAGTTACGTTTGTTATGTGTCTACTTTGATATGTCTAGCCAACACATTGTACTATTAGCAATAACACTAGCCTACGTTCAGGACTAACGTTAGCCGAATAATAATATTAAGCTGTTATAATATTATTCCAGATTGCTGTTGTTACCATGAGTTTTCCCCATAACGTTAGATCTGTAGCTATATGGCTGATTCTGGTACGTTTTATAATACTGCTGCTTCCAGTGAAGCACCAGCAAAAAAAAACGATTCTGTTAGCTGGGAGAAAAGCTGGAAGCTAGATATGTAGTTGATAACATAATGTTCATGCATACAAAGTAAAAAAAATTAAAAACATTTTCTGCATTAGCCTATTTTAGAATACACAATATTGAAAGTGCAAGTAACAGATATTATATTTACTTGGTTATAAAATTATGTTAGAAAAACAACTATAATGACTTACCCAGCAGAATAAGCCATCATTGAGGTAGAACGTCAATCTGAATATCGTTTGTTTGTCGCTTTAAGAAATGCGCGTGCATGATCCTTTTTTTTTCATGATGCACGAAACGGGAGGGAGGGGGCGAGCTAACTTGGTTTGTTTGGGATCTCGCTTCAAACACAAACAGAAGTGACGTCACCCACAATCGCTGATACAACCTTTAAGCCGCGAGGTTCAAACCGTGGGAAAAAAGTTGCGGCTTATAGTCCGGAAATTACGGTAATATATGGTGTTCATTCTAAATTATATAATAGCTTAAAGGTTCTGTATGCAACTTTTTTACTCTACTAAAGCATAAAAATACCATAATATGTTTGCAGATATTTAGGAAACATGCTAAGTTCACATACTAGTTTCTCTGAAAAACACTTCTACAGCCAGTTATTTTACTTATTGTTTTACACGTTCTGTGTTGTCAGTCGGGTTTTGTTTTGGCCAGTGTGATCTCGCCCACTGCCTGTTCACCCAATAGTATTTCGACACCCCTTGGAAACGAGCAAACAAACTGGTCAGAGATTGCAGATTCCACGCAACCTAAAAAGCCTCGATATCCATCTAAAAATCTCTATGAACGAGAGCATATTAAAATGCGGATAAATCGACTCATTAACTTAGTCTGTAAGTCTCATCTGTTTTCGTCGTCAATTGCGCTCGCTCCTGTTGCGTGTCCTCAGACTAAACGCTCACGCGGGTTGCCAGTTTGAGGAGGAGGGGGCGGGGAGACAACGGTCTCTGATATTTGAATTTGGACTGCAGACTGTCTTCTTACAGACAGCACCTTTAAAGCGTGTAATCATTCTCTAAAGAGCATGGGATTTGTCCCTTAAATTATGACTCCAGTGTGTGCCCTCTTTATGTAAAGCGCCTGTGTTAATTTCCCACCAGATGGCGCCAAATTCTCTCCTCACCCACACAGAAATAGGTTTTCATTGTCTTAGGCCAGTTTCGGGATGGCATCTGACTTCAGGTGTACATTTGTATTAGTACTTTTTTTTCATTATAAGTTCATTTTAGTTATAATGTAACATTAATTTGTTGCATACAGAATATGGACACTTCAGATACGAACAATGCCACACTTTTGGGCTATTTGTTTTTCTCGCCATGATATTTGCCTTGAGCCTTTGGCATTCATCCCATTTGGGTGCTCTAGGTCATCTCACTGAACAGGAAGCAGGAAAGAGTGCACAGAATTCAGGTGCATTGCATCAGGTGTCAGTTTCTGGGAAGCTGAGTCATGCTTGCCTGGACAGACAAACCCATCCATTGTTCATTGTGGTAAATGGAGTAGACTAACATAGTACTAGTAGTCTAGTACATGGATGTATTGATAAAAAAAAATGTGGTTGAAATGTAAAATAATCAATTCCAACTGACACTCTTTTCTGTTTGCGATTTCATATTTGGTAGTTTTTTTTTTTTTTTAGTGTTTTGAGAATAGCTTTTTATTTTTATTTTTACTTAAAGCTGCAGTCCGTAGCTTTTTTGGGTTAAAAATTATCCAAAATACCTATTTGAGAAAATGCATAACCAGCCAGTGTTCAAAACTACTTGCTTGCCTTAGCTCGATTCAAAACGGTAAGCTTGTAATGTTTTTAATTCCAGTGGTACTGGTGGATTTCCGCGGGAGATTCGAGCATGTCTTTGCATCATTACGTCACATCTGTACACATAAAGAAGGAGTCTCGGCTAGTAGGCTATATTGCGTGTGAGGATGCTTGGAGATTTATAGCCTTTTCTCACAGCACTTGATATAATTAAACTTATCAATTTGATGGCGGATCCAGAAAGGTTCAAACGACAATCACCAGTGACAACAGATTCACCCGCTGTAAAATGCAAAAGACTTCGTTCGGATTTCGGAGTGGCTACAGAGAAAGAGACTGCAACCGGACCCATGCGAAAACAAGGATGCATATCGGAAGGACATTAAATGTAGTCACGCAATGCTGATGTTATTAACATTAACAATTTGAGAACAAAGTATAATTTGCACGGTTTTGCGTGATATGATAAGCGATCGTTAGATTTAATCAGCGCGATTTACTGCAATGTCAGAACCAGAGCAAAAGTGGATGTTACTTGCTTATTCAGATGACATTTTCCGGTGAAAATTCTTATGTTGGTCATACTTCCAAAAAGAATAATCTGTGATTGCGAATGCCAGTATCCACACCGGCGTGGCGACTCACAGCTGCACACTCTCCTCAAACATTGTTCATCCGCGCTGTGCCGTGCCGAGGCACAACTCACGTAAAGTTGATAATTCCGCGAATGACTGCAATTGCAGATTTCGAACAGAGATGGCGACAGAGGAAAAACTGGAATTTTGATATTTTCATGTTTTTAAATGAATGTTAACTTTCTTACACAGGGACTTGAACATGTCAGAGTTTGTTTGCGACCCCAAAGCTGACCCATATGTCTATGACCTCATTGCTGTTTCCAACCATTATGGAGGAATGGGTGGAGGCCACTGTAAGTCATTCTTACTGCTTGTCTTCCATTATTTCATAACTCTTAGTGAAATCACATCCTATCTATTGTCCTTTATCTTTTTAATCTTTCTTTTGCAATTATATCGATACATAACTGGCCAAGTCACAGGTTGTGTCAGCAGCCTTTTATTTGCCCTTTATCACTTATTCCTTTCAACTCCGATATCTCATGTTTGATAGATTTCTACAGAAACGTTAACACCGAGTTGATCATTTACATCTTTGTCATTGTATTGCTGCCTGGAAACGATAATTTAGTTTGTTTTGGATTACGCAAGTTCAGCGGTTGAGCAATACGTTTCATTCATCTTGCAGACACGGCATACGGCAAGAACAAGATGGATGGAAAATGGTATTACTTTGACGACAGCAGTGTGTCTGCTGCTACTGAGGATCAGATTGTGGTGAGACTCTTTAAACTTCTACTCTTTCCCTTTTATTAAAATTTGCCATCCTTTCCAGACTCATTAAGCATTCCTGTGGTTAATGAATCTCAAGGAGACATTGTTGTCCCATAAAGGAATTGGCGGTTTGTACACTGACTCAAAATTGTCTCTTTTTGTTCTCCACAGACTAAAGCAGCCTACGTGCTTTTTTACCAACGTAGAGACGCAGACACACCTTCCAAATCCACCCCCTCCGCATCACTAGGCGGAGCTTCAGAGACCCCGGACGACCACATGGACACCAACTGATTTTCTTTTAGTCTTTCAAGGACTGGCACTGAAACAAAAACTACATAAAGATGAAATCAACAATGCATCGACGCACATCCCTGGCTACTTCAGTGACTATTAAAGGCTCACAAACAGGCCCTCTGTTTTTAGCTTTATTTTATTTTATTTTATTTCACACATGCGTCTTTATCAAGAGCCAAAAAAGAATATTAATAATAAATAAAGAGAATTTTAGTTTGAAGCGTGACATGAAAGACTTTATTCTTGGACCTTGATGCCTGCTGATTATAGAAGCTTGTTTCTTTTAGTCTGAAATGAGAATGAGGGTGAAACGGCGAAATAACCTCTCTTTGGACGACATGAATGTTAGGTGAAATAGATCAGGAGAGGGGAAATGCCTAAAAATAGACTATGTATGCAACATTACGCTTCTCTGAAATGTAAAATTATGCCTCTACCCACTCACGTTGGACTCTAGCTATCAGCATCTTGTAACATGTGCCTCCTGTGAAGAATAGACTCTCTGTGTTTAATAACTTAAGCGTGTGGTGACAAGCACAGAGATTCTCTCAGAGATGCTTGCGCTCTTATATTAAATATTGTCTCCAGGTTTCCTTTATCGTGTCACAAGCCACACGTTTTGTTAAATATCCCATGCCGGAGAGTGTTGTCTTGAAATATTTCAATTTCAGAGCTGCTTAACTATATCACAATGTTAGGTTTATTATCATGATGTTTATTTAGGGCGAGGCTGATCTCTAATATATTCACACACAGCCTTCACACCCCAAAAACTGTGCAAAGGGGAGCTTAAGAATCAGTGGAACAAGTGAACGTAAGTCACAGTCGTGCCCCAAAACAGTTCCAAAGCATCTCATTTCTGATCTGATGGTTTGTGCTTTAATAATACTCCTTTTTTTTCTCTTTATGGTGGATGTTTCTCTCTAAATGGCTTCAGTCCAGAGAAATATGGAGTCTGCTTGTAACACTTGAACAGGTATATGTACACAACAAAGAGGAACACAAAGAATGGCCATTGTTTTAATTAAGAACAGCCTTAAAGATGCAGCTGTCATTATTACATGAAGGTGTACATTGGGACATCTGCCCTGTGTTTAGATGTGGCATCATGTGTGTCGGATGACAACTCAAGACAAGTGCTTCATGCTGCTAAGAACATGATACACAAAGCATATTCTTTTTCTGTGTGACAAAACAGCATGCAAATTTTGAAATCTGCAAAATAACTATATGGTTGTTCCTGGTGTTTACCTTTCTATGGTATTAGCAGTCACTGACTGGTAAATCCACTGTTGTTATGGAAAAACAGCTATAAAAGTTAGGACTTGAACTGATCATTGACTCAAGCTATCCCCCCTGCAGCTCCTACATCAGTAAAACATCAATTTAAACATTTTGGTTTGTTTTGTAGTTTCATAGACCTTTCTTGCATAGATGTACATTATCATAATCTGGGGCACAGTACATAGTTGCTTTGTGTTCTATTTATCATGCCAAGATGTGCAACACCAGATTTTGATTAAGCCTATTCGAATTGAAAATATAATAAAATGTGGAAGCTCTTATTTCTGTTTTACATTTTGTTTTTTAATAATACTTGCATTCCTATAACTCAAACAGTAGTGTCGCTCTAGCAATGCCAAGGTTTGATTCCCAGGGAATGCAAAAACTGCTAAGAAATGTGTAAACCTTGAATGCAATGTAAGTTGCTTTGGATAAAAAATCTGAATAATGCATAAATGTAATTGAAAAATTATTGGCAGGAAAGACTTGCACATCTAGAGCCAACAGTTTTGAGAGTACATTGGGAAAATGGTATTGATTTTGGCTGATGTAAATAGAAATGGGTGTATATGAATGTTTGAAATGGTTATTTAATAATGTGTGCATTTAGGTATTTTCGTTATGTTTATTGACTAAAAGTCAGGACATCATAAACACTAAGTTTGGAATAATTATGCTTTTGAAAGAAGTCTCTTATGTTCACCAAGGCTGCACTTATTTGATAAAAATACATTAAAAACAGTAATATTATGAAATGTTATTACTATTTAAAAACTGTTTTCTATGTATTTTAAAATGTAACACATTCCTGTGATGGCAAAGCTGAGTTTCCCGCATCATTACTCCAGTCTTCAGTGTCACATGATCCTTCAGAAATCATTCAAATAGACTGATTTGGTGCCCAATTCTTATATTTTAGTTTTTCTAAATGAATAAAAAAAGAGAATTTTTGAATTTAAAGGTCAAGTGCAACTGCTAAACATGTTTGGTCTAGTAACTGCAGTGGGAAATTCTACTCCCAGCTCTCACACCCACACTAGAGATAAGTTTCCACTGGAGCTCATTAATACAGAATGAACCTCTTCAATGCACCTGATGATCAGTACCGTATTACACAACGGACAACACCCTAAAAGTCTGTCTTCCAGTTCTCCCAAGCTAACTGAAGATGAATCGAAAGAAGGAAATCTTGAGACATGAGTAGAAAACAAACACGTTTATTGGTCCAAAATGCATATTGTGCCATACAAGAGCTAAATGAAACTGTTCAGTTAGGACTTTTGCAGGGCATCAGCTGCTCCCCACAGACTAGCATGTTTACAGGAGCATCTTCATGAAGTAAAAGTCCAAACTCAGCAACATCACGCACATGAGAGCACAAACTACCTTGAAAACCTATTGGAGACCCATATAGGTTCAGGTATGCAAGCAGGATTATTATTGATTTATTTTGACACCCGTTTGACCCCTAAACCTTTAAAAGACATTTTAATTGGCTATGCTGAGAAGTTTCTTGATGTCTCCCTCGATGTTGCTGGTCAGGTATCTCCTGCTGAAGCGTTTGAACGGCACTCCATCAGATCCGATAAGAAACTTCTCGAAATTCCAAGTGATGTCGTTTCTGCATATGGGACTCCACACGATAAATTTGGGGTCGTTCATGAAGGTCATTGGGTCATCGTATGGGAATGGAAGTTTCTCCTTGAGGAAGACGAAGAGAGGGTGAGCGCCTTTCCCGTTCACGTCGACCTTCTCCAAAAGCTGAAATTTAGGTTCATAGCCATTGCCTGGACGGACATACTTCAAGGACAAAAGGATCTCTTCATTTTGACAGTTTTCCTAAAATGAAAAGGCAATAGAATCACAAGCTATTTTGGAAATACTTTACAACAACATAGTGAGAATATAATAAAGGGTAAACGGTTAAGTATAGTCATGGTTCTATTCTTGCATTCATATATTAGGATAGGATAGGAGTAAAAATCATACAAATAAGCAGTAGAAAATCTCTAAAGTAAAATGCCTGTTAAACTCAAGGAAATAAAAAAAAACACAACTGTTCACTGTGAGTTTATATTATCACAGGAGCATTAAATAACATTAACAGATACAACTTTTCATTTTAATAATATATTAGTAAATGCAAATTTGCTAAATTTAACTGAGTTTTGATATAACTGAGTTTTGCTTTGGTAATGGAGTCTCTTATTGTTTTAAGAATATATTAACAATAAATCTAAATCTATTATTTAATTTGCTAAATCATTTTTTTTGTTTGAGATATTTATAAAAATAAATTCATTTCTATTTTTGTTGTTGTTATTATTATTATATCTTAAACTAACTTATTGTTTCTCTTTGTACGACAGCTGTCATATTGTTTCTCTTTGTACGACAGCTGTCTGTATGTTTATTGTTCTTTAATTTTTCATTTAAAAATATAGCTTTAAGATCTCCATCCAAGACTATTTGTTTTATAATATTTCACAGATCAGTAGTTAACATCCAAATAAAAAAACATGTGAAAATATGTAAATCCAAATTTATTGATATTTCAAACTTTTTTTATGTAAAGTAACTAATGGTATTTTAAGCATTTTATAATTTACAAATAAATAAGTGTTACTACCATTTACGTATTATTTATTTTATTTTTTTAAATGTAGGCTGCCCTTAGTTTATACAGATAAATCAGCATACATAAAAGAGGTGTAAGACAGACAGCAGGGCATGACAGGTCAAGTGCGCCACAGGCACCTGTCCACTGCAGTGAAGGGCTATTGAATGAATCAGACATGGTGTTGTCATCTATTCTTACCTGATACCCGAACTGATTGCAGGGGACTCCCAGAATCACAAGCCCTTTATCTGAGTAGCGCTCGTGGAGCTCGTTCATCTGGGTGTAATCCCTGGTGGTCGTTCCTCAAAGAGAAGCGACATTCTCGATCAGGACCACCTTACCCTGTAAAGAAGAAAACTTGAACTCCTCTCCTGTGAGGGTTTTTGAAGTGATGTCGTAAAACGATTTTATTCCAGCCATGTTTATTCCAACCCCGATGCCTTGCAACTAACTGGTAAACACACATAGGTATAGATCTAGGAAATAACACAATATAAAACTGTAAACTGAGAGGGCGGTCTGATATGCAGTGACCAATCATTGCAAGACTCTCCACGCCCACCTTTAAATACACGCCCATAGAATATTAGGGAGTGTCACCAAAGTGTTCAGTTTACTATTTTAAGGTTGAAAATGTTTATCTTATTATCTTTCGGCCTGATGACGTGTTATTTGATGTTTTTTGTATTTTTAGACTTATAAAGATAGATATAGTTAAGACACAAAACATACAGCAACGCCTCAATACAATTATCAATACAGAATTGAGAATTTTACCACGACCCCTAAATTGTACAAACCACTGGCGCGCTTTGCGAGTCGTGTGACATTAGCCTGGTTACGAAAACATACATTTTATGCAACAGTCTCAATTTATTAACATAACATCTAAACGACAAACGTTTAAGATCAGCATCGCGCGGGGATTAACCTTAAAGTAAACACTTCTGACGACACTTTGACTCAAATACGGTAATTTCGTCGAGTTCGTCGACTGTGTAATTTACGTTAGCTCTTGCCATTTCAGTCTGCCTTGAAATGATTGTTTACATTCTCCCGAGATAAGTTCTGGGATTGTTTCAACCAGGACTGTCATTATTAAACTGTCAGAGCGCTTCAGATTTAATCTAGCCCATGTGAAAAAGGTTATTTGTGTTACTCCTTACAGGTAAAACATCTGTTATTTTAACATTTCCATCTGACCCGATCTGAGTTAAAGATGATGCGTAAGAAGAAGCGCTCATCATCCATCCCGGTGGAAGAAGATTCCACACTTGACATTCCAAGTAAGTTCCCGATGACGTCACATCTCAAAT